AATATAATATAATATAATATAATATGTCTGTGGCACAGACCAACTGCTCACATGCCCTTTAGAGACACATCCTTTGCCACAATCCTTCATGTGGCCGCTTTTCTCTGCAGCCACCAACTCGTGGGGGTAGGAACCACACATTTAATTCAGTTTGGGATAAATCACAAGCCCTGCAAGCACTACCAGGAAACCCCATGTAATCTTATCTCTCTCCGCTGGGTCCCTCTGATGTGCCAAGGTGGAAAGCAGTGGCTTTTGCAACTGCTAGTGCAAATCTGAGCAATACTTACAGCTGATTGTAATTCCAAGCTCTACACCCCTTTTCTTGGGCAATTTAACGTGGAAAGTACCGCTGCTGGGTATGACAGACTCTATAAAACCAAAAACAGACACAAAAGAAAACAGAAGAAAAGAGTTTTCAGTTGCATGGATGGTTTCTTTGGAACTAAGAAAAAGAAGCCCATAAAACTCAGCTTTATTGGTTCAAATAAGGTTGTTACTCGAGGCCCTGTGGACTTCACTTTAAAATTCAGACTCTCACTAAAAATACATGCTCTGAACATCGAGTGAAGTACTCACATCATGCTGTACTTCAAGACTGAGGCAGCTCTGTCAATGTAAAAGGAAAAAAACTTTTTTTTTTTTTAAATACAAAGCTGCACTTGAGCCCCAGTCAACAGCTTTGGCTCCCTCCTTCCTTCAAGGCCATAAATTAATATAAATTAATATAAATATTATTCACATTAATGGGCAAATATTTAAAGTGCAGGTGGCCTCTTTGTCTACTCCTTAGGCTTATCTCAGATAAGTAGTGAGTACAAGGCATTTTTGAAGGGATCAGAAGAAGGACCCTCCATCTCGGTGCACGTTAGCGAATAATGAGAAATGGAAAAGCTCCTCACAGGGTCTCATCGCTCTTCCTTCTGAGCTCTAGCAAAAACCTCATGTATTTGTGTGAATACACTCCATCCTATGGGTTAGCAAAGGCACTGGCAGAGTCCTGCTGGTAGTGTGGAGCAGCAATTCCTTCAGCAACTTACCTGCAACATCAAATTCAATCTCGAGCACCACTTTGTTGGTGAGCGCGGCATCACGCAAAAGCTGATTAGCTTCCTCCATAGTCCCATCCTCAGTTGCAATGCCATTGATAGAAAGGACTCTGTCTCCTACTTGCAGCAGCCCACACCTGCAGTCCACATTGGGAAAAGCGGGAAAGGGGATGAGGAGACAGGGAAAAAGAGGAAAGGAGAAACAACCCCACAACCAGCCATGAGTTACTTTCGCCAGGTAAATCTGTTACAAGACACATAGAGTAGTGACAAATCCTGTAGAAGTGGCCCCAAAGAGAAGATAACTCCTTCTGCAATTCCCGTCCCAGTGTCAAGTGTCCCTGGAAGGTCACAAGGCAGCAAATCCCTGTGGTTTGCTTAAGTTCAGATATAGTTTGCTCCTAAATAACCATTTTTGGTCATATTTCCTGCAACTTCCAGGAAAGGAAAAAAAAGTAAACCTCACCTTCCTAAAAGTCAACACCATGGCCAAGAGATGAGACTGATAAATGCAAAGGCATGTGCCTTCCTACCCTATCTAAGGTATACGGCTCTTTCCATGTGCATGCACCCTCTGAAACCCAAACTAACAGCACTGAAAATTGCAGAGAGTCCTCTGCTTAATATGTGGCTAATATTGAAGCTGCAATCCAATGAACTCACTGAAATGTCTCCACAAATTGGATAATCATTTATTCCTTGTAATTGCATTTCTGGAAGCCAAATGTACATTGATATTGTTTAACTGCCTTGAAAGGCCAATATTATTCCGATGCGATATCCCACCAATATAACCACAACTGGCACTTTGGGGTTTTTGGTTTAGACCCACCTTCTCCAAGAGCACAGATCAGCAGGTCTTTTTACCTTGGAAGAAAAACAATGACAGCAAGGCTATGTTGGAGATACAGTGCTACAGCATGGTTTGTCTCTTGGGATCTCTCTATATTTATAAGCAAGGATTTTTCCACACATGAACCACTACATTCTACATTCACCCTCCCCCTTTCCTTTCTTTTTTTTTCTTTTTTAAATATACTGTAACACCAGCAAGACAATCCTCCACCTTACTGAGCCAGCTCATGGCTCTACAAAATAGTGTAGTGTCCCTGTGACTGGCCATGGGCAATTGCTCATCTTCCTTCTCCTCCACATCCTTCATCAGTTGTTTGCTATAACCACATCTTTCCAGATTTTCCACTCATTACCTGTTTAGAAGGCTGTCCACTTGAGCAGAGCTTGGGAAACCAGTCCTCCCCCATCGTTAACATAAGCTACAGAGTGGTCTCCAAAACAAGTTGAGGGTTATGAAAACAAGTCTAAGGTTCATCTCCACATTCGGAGTTATTTTACCACAAATACTTCCCACAAGGCATCAGCTATCCTGTTTTGAGCCTTCTCCAGATAATCTTTATTCCCCTGCTCTTTAATGATCAAGCACATCCTGTGCTCTGTCCTTCCTAGATGTCAACTTCCACTGATATTTCACGGAAGATGGCTTGTTTTTTACTAATCCTTCCAGCCACTCTTCATCACTCACATCTAATTTAACTGTAAGAAAACATGGCACTGCAGCTTCTGGGCACACAAAGATAACATCAAAGACAACGGACACTGGCTGTGTTATTCACCACCAAACAACAGGATGTATATGAAAGGCCAGGTTACCAAGAAAGAAAGCACATCCAAATTCAATAAAAATGCACAAGCACAACAGTTTTTGCTGGTGGCCCATCAAAAGCTGAAATATGACCAAGTTTGGAGAGAACTTAAGGAGGTTATTTTACTGGTAGGAAGGTATTAAACTTGCAGTGTATTTACACTGCTGCCTGAGTTCATGCCATCCATGGAAAAACGCCGGCTATTTTATGAGATGTAAATTCAGAATTGTTTGTTCAAGGAGACTTGGATTAGGACAGACAACTCCATGGTGTGTAAACAAATCCACCCTTGCGAATAAATTACATCAAGTTTAATTACAGTCCTTTACTGGACTTGTGGCTATGCAGCCACACAGATGCACTTGGAAATATGAGCTTATAAATATGAAGATGGCAAGAAGAACAACACAGATGCCTCCTCCAGCACCGAGAGCTCTCTTGCTATAATGCACCTTTTGGAAAGGAGGGATCAACACCTGCATCACATAGACATCACTGTCATTTCAAGGTCGCACGAGGACATGATCCATTTTGGCACCACTGTTCCAACTGCAAGGGCTGGGAGATCACACAATACTTTTATACAGCATCGAAGAAAAATTTACCGCCTTCCTCTTCAGAGCTGCCTTCTCACGAAACAACTGTTTCCTGTGTTTCTTCACTCAAGGTAGGCTTCCCTGAGTGGTTTACAGCAAATAGCTCTGTTAGGCCAGAAGTATTTTATTTCTTTTACTATTAGCCTCAGTCAATCATGGTTGTTTAAACCTCTGTCTTGCAGGTTTATAAAAGTTTGTGGAGTGAAGCCACAACCTTCTGGCTCCCTCCACAAGTGCAAGGAGACCCGACGTGCTTTGCTAACCCTTCAGAGTAATTCCAGAGAAACCAGTTTCCTACTGTCATGTGCCCTGGGAGCCAAGGCTCCTGCAGACCTCTCCTTGGCTCTGCTGGGGGATCCTACACAAACCTTTTGGATGGCTTTCCTGGGCATTTGTCTCAGAGGTGGAGAGGCTAACATCAGAGCTCACAAAGTCCTTTGAGATCATGGGAGAAGTGCTTTAAATGAGAAAGAACAAGAGTACAGACGTCTCCCGGAGTGAAAGACAGCCCTATGGATGTGCTAGAGTCTGTGATGGGAATGTCTCCCTGGGGTTGCAGAGATTCCCATTTTGTCCTGACTCATTCCTTGGGCTCAAAGACTGCACTGGACCAGCGTAAGTGTCCTGCTAAACACAGAGCAGTGCATATTCAAGCCTTGGGCAAGACATGCACTGAAGATCTCACTCAGCATCATCAGCATCTGCGTGGTCACTTCAGCTGTGTGGTGGCAGCAGCTGCAATCACAGCCACATTGCTGGCTGCAGAAACCGACCTGTCGTGCCCTTATATCCACCCGAACTGGCCTGCACAGGTCAGACTTGCACATCTATGTATGTCTGTACATTTGTATCTGCACCTTGGTGAGTGGGTCCCAGCCTCCAAAAGATCAAAGCTTTACTGACAGTTTCACTCAGCTGTTAAACTTTCCTTTGCAAACTCTTCATACTCAAAAGCCAGAAACACAATGATCAAACAACTGTGTCTGAGCAGAGCTAGAAAACACGTAACTCAGCAGGAAGCATTGATTTTGGATACCGGGATGGAGAAGCCAGATACTCCCCCACTGCTGTCAATGACAGCTGGGGGAGGAAGGACACAAAAGCTGCTTCAAGGCAGCCATGACGGAATGTTGGGCATCTTCCTATTCCATCCTCCCTGCTGATAACAGGGGCTGAATCACTGTCTCATTTGGAGCTCGAAGGCTTCATCTTGCACCCAGGAAACAAAACAACAGGTGGGGAGGGAGGTCTATTAGAGGCTATTGGCTGTAAAACAAATCACAAGTCAGGGAGGTGAGAGCTTTTGCTTCAAACCACCTGCCACAAGCCAGTACAAAGCAGATAATAAATGTGAGGCAGCCCGACTTCCCTGAAAAGAGGGTGATGCCTTCCTCCTCCTTAAATTTGGTTGGCACCCAAGAGGCAGCTCCTCCATGGCAAGCCAGATGGACGAAGCGATTGTGGATCATGGCCTTGTGGAACAGCAAATTCAGATTCACAGGTCTTGCACCAGAGTCCATGAATACGCAGGACAGACCCAGACTGCTGAGCCCAATCCCTGTATCCCCACCGCTCACCCTCTTTTGCAAAGGGCAACAACTGCAGCACAAGAAAGTGCACAGCCCAGCCTCAGCCGAGAGCCCGACCCGGTAAAGGGGAGAAAAATGGCTCTAAATGTCTTGGGCTGCAATTACAGCAGAACCTCTCAGAGGCAGGGAATAAGGTACCTAGGAAGATCAGAGCAAACAAGCTCTGTGGGACAGCAAGAAACAAAAAGTGAAATGAAAACATAAAACTGCCTTTTTCACCTTGCTGCAAACCCAGCACACTTGTCACTTCAAGACGGGGAGGAAGAACAGTACAGCCTAAGAAAGGAAGAAATACACGACAAAGATTTAATCCCCAAATCAAATCCAGGCTGCAAACGCAGAAAGGATTGCTCCCTGTCGCCAGGAAGCAGCAGCCAGGAGAGCGCGAATGCTGCTGGGTGGGCAGCCGAGAGGGAGAGCAGCGTGTGCGACACATTAGAGCCAAGCAGGACTGCATTGCGAGTCTTTGCTTTCGCTCCAGGCTTGGCAAGAGGATAAAACAAAGCCAGGCGGATTTCAGCACTTCTCCCTCCTCCCCTGGGATGGCAGGCTTTGTTACTGCCTGATTTATAAAAGGAATTTGGTGCTTTGCAATATGAGCCAAATTCACCCTGGTAATAGAGGATAAAAAAACCTCAAAACACCATCACTTTCCTTTTTAAACACTGTTTGGAAACAAACAAGGAAACAAAAAGGCAGAAAAGGCTTTTGATATCTCTCTTAACCTGCATCACTCAGGACAACTCTTCTTCCTGTGCCAGCACCTTGTCCCTGTCCTCCCACAGGCACAAGCACCCAGCACTCATGCTCCGCCTTGCCTCTGCATCAGCCACCTGGAGAAGCTACCGCACAGAGAGACCAGTCTGCGGGGCAAGGACTCGAGTTTCCTTTCACAGATGCTTTCCCTGCCATACTACTCCTCCATGGGTTTAACCTACATGCTGTTTTCCTGGACTGGTTTGGGGACACCAAACCATCAGCACACACTGTTGAATCCCTCGGACACTTCTCCTCCCACAGAAGGGTCTGCAATGGGTGCTGAGCACTGCCACTTCATTGCACCTCCAGCACCCCTAGGCAGGATGGACCACCAGTGGAAATCACAAGCAGAAAGAGAAACCAGCACAGCGGCCCCACAAGAGCTCAAACCATGCTGGGACCTGGTCTTGCTACAGGGCACCTACGCAGTAGCGCACAGGCACTCAACCAGACTTTAAATCCAGCCAGCAAAGGTATCGGGAAAAGTTTAGTCAGAATAGCCAGAGCTCCGGAGCTGAGGCTCGGCTCCCGGAGTCGTCATTGCTCCCACTATCCCTAGGGGGTGACAAGCAGCAGTTAACACTGCTCCTCCATCCTGCTCTTCTCCCAGCATTATAGAGCCAAAAGCAAGAGTGCTGAAATGCAGCACCTACCTGCTCCTCACCAGAGCCCTCCTCTGCAGCTCAAATCCTTGCTTTTAGGCCAATTCATACAGCTGGGCACTGCTACAATGAAACCGGGCAGAAACCACTTTGCTGGGCCCACTTGTTTAGATCTTTCCCCTTTCTGCACCCAGATAAAAGCTTTATCTTTCAACAAGAAAAGAAAAAAAAAAAGAATGGGAATGGCTCTCTCACACAGACACACGCTCCCTTCCTCCTCCTCCCAGAACAGCCGCAGCCTGGTGCCAAGACGTTCACCTGGGATGCGAGGGAGGCCACGGTCAGCCGACGAGTGCAGAAATGGCAGTGACAGTAAACCATGCCCAGTGAAGAATGGGAGATATTACAAGGATGATAGTAAATATCTAAATGAGCCTCTGAGGAGAGAAAACAAACCAAACCATGAAATGTTCAGCAGCAGCACCATCAGCATCCAAGGGCAAGGTCTCTAACCTCTCTGCCGGACTGTCGGGCTCAATAAAACGGACGAGAGGTGGGGAAGACAGGGTTTCGGTAGCAAAGATGCCTCCCTGGAGCTGAAGTCCGAAGCCATTCAAAGGGTCTCCCCTGAGCACCACCTCTGTCGTCTCCGTATGGACTATCTGCCCGCCAGGACCCACTGTGCTGGAGGCCAGCGACACTGAGAGGAGGAGAGAGGCAGAAGGTCAGGGTAGCCACAGTCAATGTAGCAGGTCTGGTCACAGACCTCGATCTGGCGGTGGTGGGGACAATGACCAAGGATGAGGGAGGCATTGATGGTGCTGACATGAGTGGTCCTACCCCAGCTAACAGTCAATAATAAGGACAGCAAGGCAAACATGCATGCCCTGTCCAACCCAGCCCTAGCCCACCACTACTCTTACATGAGCTCTTGTGCTCCTTCTTCTTCTGCCGCCTCCTCAGCATGGTGGTGCGGGGGCTCATGGGGTGGGAGCTGCGAGGTAGCGTGTTCGAGTTCTGGCAGGGGAAGCCCTGCGCATTCATGGTGGGAGACGAGAAGTTGGCAGCCACCAGAGCTGGGGAAATACAGAGCATGTTAAGGATGTGCACAGAGAAGTGCAGCAGTGGGTTCATCTAATGGATGGTTCATCAAACACCTAACATGTTTGGAGTAGCTCCTTCTTCCCAGCTCCAGGGCTCATATGGATGTGAGAACCTTGTCATAGAGTCACAGTATCATTTAGGTTGGAAAAGACCTTTAAGCTCATCGAGTCCCAACATAAACCTAACACTGCCAAGCCCACCACTAAACCATGTCCCTGAGCACCACGTCTATATGCCTTTTAAATATCTCCAGAGATGGTGCCTCAACCAATTCTCTGGGCAGTCTGTTCCAATGCTTGATAACCCTTTGAGCAAAGAAGTGTTGTCCTGGGCTTGCAGCTCCAGGAAAGCTGTGAGAGCAGGCTTGGACTCAAGATGGACATCACTCTGATGTGCAGAGACTCCACTGATAGGGCTACATGTCACTGCAGCATGCAGGCCACCAGGTGAGAAACACAGCATGGATGTGGGGCAGCCAACAGCAGGTTGGTACAATGACACTAATGAACATTAAATCCATAGAAAGAGAAACCACAGCTTGAACTTGAGCTGCTGGGCAACCGTGCTGCCCTGTTTGCTTCCCAACACAGTGTAATGTTTCCTCTCTATCTTACTGTCATAAGACAAGAAATCTGGGGCTGAACAGTGCCTGCTTCCTGCAAGAGGTGGGCTTACAGACAGATTTCAAAGCAGCTGTAATCCTGCTGTTAACTTGTTGTGTGGCACCAGGGCTGAGCTGGATGTGTTGGTGTATAACGTTCCTACACGCACCAGAGCTGCCTTCCTTCTCCCACAGCAACTTGTTTTTACCCTTGCCTGTATGAAACCGGGCACTGGGCTGTGGGGTTTGAGTATGAAAGTATGGGTCTGCCCAGCACATAGCTCTCACTGCAGTTACCAGGTCTTTGTGTTGTGGGCTGCAGATACTGATTTTGCACCTGAGCACTGGACCTGTGAAAACAGACCCAGGTGACCGAGGAGGAAATAAATTACACTCATGGCTACAGAGCTGGGTATTAAGGCAATAGAGGAGCACAACATCAATGAACACGTGGAGGGATGGGGGTAACACCGTGCACTGGGGTTACATTTGCAGTAATCCTGTCCAGACGTCTGGTTCCAAGTGGGTGTCTTGCAGTGTCCGGGGTGGTGGGTGTGACAGTAGTTGACACAGGGGTCCCAGCAGTGGTGGTGGTCGCTCTTCTGAACCTTGACTGATGGCACCAAGGGGAGCAGAAATCACCACAGGCAGAGAGGAGACGTGAGAGAAAGAAAAGGTAAGAAGCATAAACCAGGAGATTGTAGAAAAGAGCCTCATACTGGCTCTGAACAAGTCAACTCAACCCCAGTGCATCAAGCACCAGCAGTGAAAACGCATCCCCGTGTAACCTCGTGACACTTGATGCAAAGTGGCAGAAATTCACCCCTTCCCCATAAAAAGCTCCACAGCCTGAGCCAACAGCCTGACTGAGCTGTGCTGGCAGCGCACAGATGTCATTACCATTTGCAGTCTGTTGTGTGACACACAGAAGCTCCCTCCAGCCACAAGTTTCCCGCAGAGGCCATCAGCGTTATCCGACAGCACCGGGGAAACCTCCTTGCGCTGCTTCCCACCTCACTGCTGGAGCTGCCCTCCCAGGGACAAGGCTCAATGCCTTCCACAAATGCCAAGGTCTGCTTTGAGCACTTTGCTTGGCTCCAACATTTGGTTGTTCAGCGGCTGCTCTTGGCCGGGAATCCATCGCAGGGTGCATGTATGGATGAAAGAGAGGAGCAGCGGAGGGCCGCCTCCCGCTCACCAGAACAAAAGGGATTTTATAAGCCGCTGCTTAAAGGCAATTACAGAGGGGCACCGACACAGGAAGAGATGTCAACGCTGTGGCAAACAGTAAATTAAAACATGGCACCATCACAGTAGACTCTATTCAAGGCCACACAACTGCTTTAGCTTCAACCCTAACCCCAGCCCAGCACATGTTGACAGAAATCTGTTGCAGCGTGACATCCATCGTCTGGAAATCCCCTGTCCCAGAAACTGTGGCTTTGCGACATCAGGTCACGATGCCACAGGTCTCCTCTGGAGTACTTCAAACATCCCCAGGCACAGGTCCCTTCCTTGCCCATTCTCACTGACTCTCCTTTCGCCCCTGGAGCAGCACAGGGTCAGTTTGGTTTTCCTTGCCCAACAGCACTGGATTTTCTCTCCCGAATCTCTGCACCATGGTGTCTGGATCTATTTTCTTCTGAGAGGAATTGCTGTCTAACAAGCAAGATTGCAAGTGTCTCTTTTAATCAGCTAAGCATGAATAGTATCCCACAGTGGAGCATCACTGGAGCCACGAGTCATCCCAGAGCTCTTAACCTCACAACCACTTGCATTGACTGGCAGTCACCTTTCCAGGATGACACCTCCTCCAGGCTCTGTGTCCTCCAAGTAGGCAGAAACACTGCCAGTGCTGGTACTACCAGAGCTTTCTGAGGGTGCAAACCTGGGAGAGGGACTCAGTTTATTTAGTGAGTCCACCCACAGATCTCATCTAAAGCTCATCTGTTAGTGCCTTTAACAGCGGAAATCCATTTTGTGTGCATGCATCACAGGCATTAAATCATTTAGGTTTTCCAAGCAATATTGTGATTAAATTTAGCCTTTGCTAAACATTCAGTGAGTTTAGCACTTAGTCTATCAAGTTCTTAAAAAATACACTTCCAACTCTGGAGTTTCTATTTTGCAGATTCAAAAACAAATTCAGAGTCAGGCAGCTTTTAAAAACAAAAATCAAATTAATAAATGTAGCTATATCTAGATAAAAAGGAAAGTTCTTAATAAAATTAAACACTTTGAACATGAGGGACAGAGCTTATGGGCATATATACAAAATCATTTAATCCATTTACGGTAATTAAAACTCTCCCATTTGTCTATAAATTCTTAGCTCATATATGACAACAGAAAAAAGTGCCTTTGAAACTCAGCTGTCAGTGCATTGGGGAAGTGAAGAGATTTTAAACAATTCTACAATAAAAAACCTACAACAGCCTTCCCCAAGGCTTTCGCACATCATCCGTGCCTGAGGAAACCCATCCGTCCCAGCACCACTCCTGGGCACCACCCGCTCCCGCTGAGCTTGTGAGCAGGGTGTAATCCTCCTGCAGATTCTCCAAATGCCTCCAGAGCCACAGAGAAAGCAAACTCAGTTTGACAAATCCCGTGCTTCAGCATCAGACCGTACGTTTGCATGGCAGCTGTAGCTTCAGATCCCTCTCCACCTCCTCAATAACTGGATTTTGATTGCATGAGAAGCCACATTTAAAAAACACAATGATGAGCCCCATGCAGGCACATACTGGAAGGACTCAGTAATGCAAGTGCACAGGGATGCATCTGCACAGTCTCCTCTCCTCAGCCAACTCTCTTGCCAACTACAACAGTTTGCTTTTGCATGGCCCATTTTTCCTTACTGTCCCTGTTTGTTTCCCTAAATTCAGAAAAAGCAGCCATGGAGTTGGCACTTGGCATCTGGAGCAGAAAGCAGTGTCTCTCCCAAGTCCAAATGCAGTTTGCCAACTTTGGTGTGGTTTCTCGCCTGCTCACCATGGGCTGCACTGTGCTGTGGCTGGTTGCACCACTGAGGAGCACTGCTGTATGAGCTGCTCCTCTTGCCCAAAGCACCCTCCTTTCTGTCCCCACCACCTCCCTTTCCCATCTCCATCAGCACTGATGAAGGTTCAAGCCCAAGCACTGGTCTCCAACCACACACCTCTGCCTCCCAACAGCTGTGTGGATGAGCAGTATCCTTCCCTGTGATTCTTCACATGTTGAAGAGTTTAATCAAAAGTGGAAACAATTGTTATATCCCTTATTTTTCATATTTATGTCTTGCAGTTATTCTCCCAAGTTTGTGTTCTGTATTTCTGCCACAGCAAACTGATCTAATGTGTGGACCAGATGGGTAAAAAGGCTTTGAACATACTGAGCTGTCCTTCCACAGATCCTCCTTCTCCTGAGCTGCTGCTGAATGCATGTTTTCTGAAAGGAGATTAGGATGAGGGCACTAATGGAAGGAGGAGAACAGTTCATTTTAACAGTCATTGAAAAAGGATTATAGCTTTCCATTTTTTCTTGGGCATAAAGGTCAAGTCATCCATTCCCTTTGTTAAAATGCTTTAATTCTGCACAAATTGGACTGGACATGTAAGAGATTTATTTCTAGACACGGAAAGGTTATTAGATTTTATTTTTCACCACATCACGTTTAAAGAAGACAACATAGATATTTTCTTCCTTTCCCCAAACCATCCTAGAAGAGAACGGAAAGAAGAGATGTGGCCGGGGCTACTGTGCAACCAATATTATTAAAATGTGTGTTCCTGAGGAACAAGTGATTGAAAACGGTTGCAAAAGGGCCTGGTAGTGAACAGTCACACCTGAAACACCTGGATTACAAGACCACCAGTACAAACCGCAACAAAACTGCAGGGAAACAAATTTGCTGCAACAAATCTACTAGTACTGAGGCTATGTTCACATTGAAGTTTATATGAGAGCCTGAGTCAGTCTCTTGCTTGGAAGGAGAAACTAAAGGTGGGCAACAAAGACGCTCATGAGGGTGGATTCCTAGTGACATTCACAGGAATTTCAGGCTTGATTTCACTGGAGACAGAATTTTTTCCCCAGTATTTCTCTGGTGAGGGGTGGTGGAAAGCAGCTGCTACAGATGCATTTACTCTACCTCTGGCTGCTCAGACTCAGCAGCCATTCAAACCAGAATGATGTCCAGAAGATGAATGCTTGTGTTATAGTTTTGTTTTCTAAGTAAGTCCAGCAGGTTTCTGCCTAGCTACTGACATGTCCTTCACAAAGCCTCACCAGGCATCCGCAAATGAAAACTGAGCTTGGGAATACATTTGCCAGCACCAAGGTTGTTTTCCTCCCTCTCCATTAAAGTCTCTTATCCGAGGTACTAAGGAAGCGGCTTGCACAGCACTCAGCACTGCAAAACCCTGGGATTCCCAACTCAAATTTTCCCATTCAAGCACAGATGTTACCTTTTAATCCTATTCACATCCTTGAAGAACGTCATCTAATCACATGCATTTCATCAAAACATCTTTTTTTTTGACTCCACAGATGTCTCTCTTTGGAGTCCGTTGCCAGCATTCAAAAGCAGCAAGAACCCCAGTAGAGACCTCAAGTGAGTTTTGAGGACAACCAACAGTGTTTGCACAGAGGACACACCTGTTTCTGGAGGCTTCAAAGGCAGCCTGCTTTGGTGAACAGGTAATATCTCTAGCTTGACATTTTCCGAAGTGGCAGCTAAAAGCTGAGTTGCCTCTAATAAGGAGCAGTGCTCTGTGCTCGTGCCATCTATGGAGAGAATATGGTCGCCAACATGCAACGCGCCACATCTGCAAAGGAAACAGCAAGAGGTAATTATACACACGGCCAAAATCCATGCCCTCACAGTTGAGAGCAGACACATACAAAATCCAACTGTGAATTAGTGTGTAAATTCTTTTCATATCTCATTTTTTTATTTCCGATTTGAACCTTAAGTTCAAGCATTGCCCAAAACACCAGCTAAGATGGTTCATGCTTGAGTCAGTGCTGCTGGCAGCTTGGGAAAGATTTTGAAGTTTTTCATAGTGCCCACTCATAGCTAATCTGGATGGGTGAGGCCTCACCCAACAGTGTAGTTAAGTCCTACAAGCCAGGAGTTCAGCTCAGCAACACAACTAACCACAGCGAGGGCTACATCACGGTCTGTCTTTCTGCATCCCCATGTAAAGGGTGACTAGCTGACTTGCCCAGCAGGAAAAGGCTCTAGCCAGAAGTTTCCAGAATAGGTTTTTGCCATTCCATAGATCCAGGGCAGTCAGATCTGAGATTTTAAAAACAGAGCTCAGCTTTCACATGCACTGAGTTACATTCATTCCCAGTAAGGAGTGTCCACTGGTGCTGGGTCAGATATTTTTAGCACGCGTAGTGCTAAGAACATGTGGACCATTTCAGAGCGAGGCAGGGAAGAATGGCATACACCTAACAACGGGACAAAAAAGCAGCAGAGAAAGCAAAAGCAGAGCTAGGAGAAGCCTGTTCAGATCTGTACCTGTCCACCACACTGGCTGGCTTGATCTTATCGATGACAATGACCTGCTTGTTCCGATGCGTGGTTGTTGTCAGTGTGATTCCTAGCGTAGATCCCGGAGTCTTTGCTATTTCAACTAGTAAAGGACCTGAAGCATTTGCTACAGTATCTGCAAAACAAGAGAGCATCTGAAGACACTTCTCATACAGCCTTTTCCACTTCTAAATGCAGGGAATTGACCAATAGTGCTGACTTGCCACGTGTATCAGCAAACCTGTAGCTTAGACATCCTACAGTCTGTGCCACGTGGTAACTTAAGAAAGAAGGAAACTCAAGAAGCAAAATTGCTTCCTCATAAAATATATATGATAACGAAGCGAAGAGATATTACAACTACTCATTCATAGAAACAACCCCCATGCCTCTTTTCTTGGGGTTAAACAGAAAGAGAATGCTCAAAGGCTGTGCAGCAGTTACATCAACAGTATTAAAAGAAAAGCATAAAAAAAGGAAGATCAGGACATCGCTGTTATAGGCTTCTTCCTAAACAAAGAAACAAACAAGCACGAAGAAACAGGATCCCACTTTCTAAAGTGCTCAGAAGTCTTGTGTGCTGATCACCAGCTGACCGATGAAGTCAGTCAACTCCTGTGTGCTTCAGGACCAGCTTCGAAATATCACCTCAACCGCTCCTTTCAGCTCCTCCAGCGCGACAGTGGGAGCAGAGACACGGAGCTACCTACCCGCATGCTTACAAACGCCTCCTCTCTCCCATCAGACAATACAGGGGTGACTCATGTTTGAAAGATGCATTTCTGCATTTCTGCAATAAATTTAATAGATGTTGTGAGACTGTGAAACTCCTATGAAATTGCACCTGTTAGCATAAGCCTGCACCATACCTCTTCATCTCTTCTGAAGAAGGGGGAGGAAAAAGAAAGCCGGTGCCTCTGGCTGATTCTATAGAAATTCCCTCCACCTCTATTATACACATTTGCTTCCAGATTACCTAAAGCCATCACAAAAAGGCTGGATTCACAAGTGTGTTTTCACCACCACACAACCCACAACAAGCACCCCATACGTAGTTTGACCCCCCAACAACAGCAGTCCACAGAAATCCACCCATCCACTTTGAAGGAAAGGCCAGCAGAGCCCTCTAAAAGCTTGATGCCTCCTCGGCCCTTAATTATTCATAGTAAAGCTTTTCTCTTCCAAAGCTATGCTCTGCTGAAAACGCTGATGCTACTTGGCTCCAAAACTTGATGCATGGCTCATTCTTGCTCTCTGATAAACAGAAGCATTGATGCAGATCTCAGAAGCTAAGCTGCAGCGAGGTCTTTCCTGAGATTTGTTGAAGATGCTGAGTCTCCAGAGACAGGAATCTTGGAAGTTTCCCCTGGGGATCAGTCAGGGGTTGTGCAGGCTCTGATCTACTCACAGTGCCCTTTTTCCCAGGGTGGAAGGAGGAGGAATGAGCCATGCTAAAGGTTATGCAAGGCTTCAAATAAAACACTGTTTATTCTCTGCTGAAACGGACCATGGGGAAGACCTGCAAGCCCTGACAAAAGCGTAGCCCCATTCGATCAAAAGATGCACAAAGCACCCAGCTAAATCCTGCGGAAAGTGCACTTAAGCCTTCATTAGCAAAGGAAGCATCAAGAGACTGAGGATCTCTTCCAACAGCAAACACCACCTATACGTTGGTTTTGCAGCCTTTGTGTGTCCAGCACATATCCTCTAAGGAGGGACAGAAATTTATATCTCTCCAGCTGAAGGGAAGGAGACAGGAAAAAAAAAAGCATGGAAAAAAACTTGCTGGAGTGGTAGACCTTTCCTCGCAAGGAAAATGCCTGCTCCTCTTGGTTTTACTGAGCATCCACCCTTCTCAGCTTTGCCAAGTGTTTCCCAGGGTGGGTCTCAGCACAATGATGAGAGGAGAGGGATTTGGGTAGGTGGCGGGTTGATCCAGGCTGGATGCCAGGTGCCCTCCAAAGTGGCTCTATCACTCCCCTCCTCAGCTGGACAGGGAGAAAAAAAATATCATGAAAGGCTCGTGGGTAGAGATAAGGACAGGGAGAGATCATTCACCATCATCATCACAGGCAAAACAGACTGGACTTGGGGAAAATTAATTTATTACCGATCAAATCAGTAGGATAATGAGAAATAAAAACTAAATCTTATAACACCTTCCCCCACCGCCTTCTTCCCAGGCTTAACTTCATTCCAAATTTCTCTACCTCCTCCTCAGCAGTAGCACAGGGGGATGAGGAATGGGGATTGTGGTCAGTTCATCACATGTCGTCTCTGATGCCCATTCCTTCTCAGGAGGAGGACTCCTCACACTCTTCCCCTGCTCCAGCATGGAGTCCCTCCCACAGGAGACAGTCCTCCACGAAGCTGAGTCCGTGCCATGGGCTACAGTTCTTCACAAACTGCTCCAGCGTGGGTCCCCCACGTGGTCACAAGTCCTGCCAGCAAACCTGCTCCAGTGCGGGCTCCCAGGTCCACAGGTCCTGCCAGGAGCCTGCTTCAGCATGGGCTCCCCACAGGGTCACAGGTTCCTTTGGGCACATCCTCCTGCTCCAGCATCGGGTCCTCTACAGGCTGCAGGTGGATATCTGCTCCACCATGGACCTCCATGGGCTGAGGGGCACAGCCTGCCTCACCAAGGTCTTCACCACGGGCTGCAGGAGAATCTCTGCTCCGGTGCCTGGAGCATTTCCTCCTCCTCCTTCTTCACTGACCTTAGTGTCTGCAGAGCTGTTGCTCTCACATCTTCTCACTCCTCTCTCCAGCTGCAGTTTTCTCGTGTACAGTTTTTTTTCTTTTTATCCTTCTTAACTATGTTATGCCAGAGGTACTACCACCATCGCTGATAGCCTTGGCCAGCAGTCAGTCTGTCTTGGAGTCGGCTGGTATTGGCTCTATTAGACACACGGGAAGCTTCTAGCAGCTGCTTACACAAGCCACCCCCTGTAGCACCCCCCACTACCGAAACCCTGTCACACAAACCCAATACAGGGTACCTTCTCCCATGGCAGGACCTAGGTATCAATTAGGCTGTTAGGAAAGAAATCGCAGTTCTGCCTTGAGCCAACAGTCCGTCCTCCCACCACACATAGCACAGGCCACCCTGCTGTCTCTTAATTCTCACCTCCAGTGACACAGATGAGAATTGCTCCAAATCCATTTTATACAGGCATTTGTTGGGGAAATACCAGCCAAGCTTCTATTAATTAAAAGATTTGGCTCAAATCAAAGGTCAGGAGTCTTTAATTCAGCAATATTTGTGAGGCATGATTAACATGGGGCTATTAAACCCAAGCTAATTCAAAAAGAAACCCAGAGAGGCCAGGGCAGACCATGCAATAACCTTACTGTAGAGAGTCCATTGACATTACTGCTTTGGCACCGTGAGATGTTTCTACACCATCATGCACAGCTGCAACTTCACCCAGCATCTGTAGAGAAGGCACCTGCGGTTCTCTGGCATTCACAGCAAATCTCACCTTACTTAAAGCAAGATCCTTTCTCACAAGCCAAGAGAGTCTAAGCAGTTGTTCTGGAGGCTGAGCATCCACGAGAATTCAACTCGAATGCAGTTCAGCATGTACTGAGGGCCATTGCAAGAACAATCATCACTGAGGCCAGTGACATCGACTTTAATATAGATACAGCAGCTTACGTCATTTCTCCAGGGTTTTGTTACCAAGGAACAGAAAAACCACGTATGCCTATGCTGCCTTGCATGGCTGTGCAGATTTTCACGTAACGGTTAGAACGTTTTTTGCAAGCAATGAATCGTGCTTCCCAGAGGAGGATAAGACCATTTTACAGATCAGGAAACTGAGGCACAGCTGTCACACAACTTGTCCAAAATCCATGTTTGTTTAGTGAATAGTCAGAAAGGGTCCAGAAGAGGATCCCTCTCCTTTTCCCCTTTGCTGGATGAATGATGTTACATCTCCTGCCATTGCTGGGAGAAAGCACACATTATCTTCATCCATCTTTAGAAATAATGTTTTTAGTAATTAAATAAACCCTTAAGCACTCCATCTTTTTGAAGACATCTGCTTTTTTAGGTGGCATTGACTATATGAATAGGGTAAATAAACTGGATAGGATCCTGTTAAAATTCAGTATCAGCAGCTCTGGCCTGAATCAGTCCCAGGACCTTAGTTAACATATGCCTCCAAATCCTGCCTTCATTTTTCCTTCTGAACCCAAATTCCAGCGATTTCAAAACGTCCAAGTGGAAGTTCAGCAGCCACCAGGTAACTCGCTACAGATCTAATCAACCCTCTAATCTTCTCCATCGAAACGGAAAGAGGAAAGCCTCCCAAAACTTGCTCAAGTACAGCAAATCCCATCGCTATGTCCACCTGGCTGACCCCAGGAGGACACAAAGGACTGTGCAAAAACCGCTCATACCCATACACTTGAGGGGCACTCACCAATATCGTGATGGATACAAGGGAAGCAGTCTGCTCCAGGCAGCCTGACACCTCAGTGCTGAAGGCACAGGAGACCTGGTTATCCCACCACACAAAGCTGGGGGTTAGCAAGTGTTTTCTTAAAGATCTTTCTCTCAACAGCTTATTTTGGAGGAAATACTGTGGGTTTTTTTTCCTTCTTGCACTAGATTTCCTTGAGTCTCACTTGGCTTTGCTCATTCCCCTAAGGAGGGATGCTCCTGGAATCAGGCTGGAAGGTGTTCTGAGCGCTTGTCTGGAGGATGAGTGAGGTGTGTCCATTTTTTTCCCTACTGTAACACACTTTGGGTGAGAGGAGGAAAAATAAAATTAAAAAAAAAAGCAACCCTCTTGCAAATGCAAACAAAATAAACCAAAAACTCCTAGAAGAAACAAACCAAGGAGCTGCCCCCTTTCTGATACAGCCCAGCGGCTCGTGATCCCTCTGACTTCATAGGCTCCATCTCAGGTCCTGCCCCCTGCCACCACTCATCAGATGCCAAGTGGTCATCCATTTGTGGGACACTACCAGCCCTCCACTCCATCAGCAGGAGAGCCCTGCAGGCCTGAAAATCTCCAGCGTAAAAACAAACAGGCGGAGGGGCAGCCAGGGGAAGGGAGAGGAGGAAAAGGACACAGCAAATTGCTTTGCTCATCCATCATCTCTGGCAGAGAGCTTCCCCCCTCCATGAGTCAACCCCAAAGTCTCGCAGCCCAGCGCCTTGTGTCATGGCACACATGACTTATTTACAGAGTAACTATTCAAATGCCACTCGTTTCTGGCTGGTCAGTTTATTTGCTAGGGATTTTTTTTTTTTTTCTTTTTTTCCTCTCTTTTTTAAAAGACTTGTAAGATAGAGTGTTGCCACAGGAAAGCATCTGTTTATTGCAACATTCATCTGGCATCAGCAAAGGGCAGAGATTTTCCTGATGCCCAAGGGAGGTGCATGCCCAGTTTATGCTCCTTTTAAATGGAAATGGCAGATTAATTTAATTCCTTTGGTGGCCTCGAGAAATCTCAGGCAATCTGATGAAAAGCCTGCCACGGCCCCATCCTATGCTGGCCTCCCTGGTGAAAGACTGACAGCCGTGGGATGCTCAGCGGCAATGGCAAGCAGCTGCTGCGTCCCTTGTACCGAGAGCGGGGCTGGCCCCATGAAGCTCATCCTCAGCGCACAATTTTGGCTGGAAAACCACACAGGCAGCTGGGGAACACCATGATTCAACACTCCCCCACAGCAGCCTTGGTCTCTCACCAAGGACAGATGCAGAAAAACAAGTTTCCCTCCTCGAGGGTCAGCCCACACCACCCCAGCCTGTTCGGCTGCAGCAGAGAGCGAGCACAATGTAAAAACCTGTTTTCCCTGAGGATGAACAGGCCAAGCACCACTTCATGGTGGTGTTCCCAGCTCTTACAATGAATCAAGTGAACTGTGTGGCCATGTGTCCCCCCAGCTCCTTCACCAAGTTTTCAAAATGGGAATTTAGAGTCCTCCCTTCAGGCTAACAACATCCCCACATCACTTCCAGCACCTGCTCTTCCCTTCCCTTCCCTCATTATCTTCCTTTGGCTGGTAAAGAGAATGTCTGCAATAGCTGTGATTTGGGGATGATGTGCTCATCTCCCGTTGCAGTTATTAGCTGTTGCCTGGCAAAACTGTCTGCAGAAATTGTTTTAAGCTACGCTTTCTGCATCATCTTGCCATAAAAGAAAGCAGGGCAAATATATCGCTTTACATGGCTGGGAGAAGCACTCCCTATGCAGAAACTACCTTAAGAAAGATGTTTTTACACCTTGGGAAGCATCTGGTTATGGTCCACCATATAGGAACACAAGATGGAGAATCCCTGCATGAAACCATGCCATCACTCTGTGTTCACTCAACCCTACCAGTTTTAGGTGGGAGAGTTACTTAAGAAGAAATACTGAGACACCTTCATGGCTATTTTTATTCCAAGTCAGGTTTTAAATCAATCAATTTTCTTCAACATAGGCACCAGGGGACCACACGAACAACCAAACTCAAAAAAAGCCCATTTCCCACACACCATTTATTGTTTGCTACTGTTCAGTCTTGACAACTCTATGCAAAATCCCTCCTTAACTCCATCTGCCCCTTCCCGGGCAGGGCTGCCAGCCTGTGAGGAGAGGAACAGATGTCCCTTACTGACCGCTGCAGTTACCACAATCACAGAGAAGGGTAGAAAATAGGGTTTGGGTAGTTTCCCTTGTCCATCATTTAAGAGTTTCCTCTTTTTCATGAATACCAGCCAATGTCTAAAGAGAAGCTGCTCCTGTAGCACAGCAGAAGCCAGGCAGTGGGCAGGCAACTGCCGAGGCACCTGGTTTTCCTTCCAGCTCTCCCATCGGAGTAGGTGCCTGCATGGCACCTGGCTGCCCCAGTATGTCTACCCTAGTGGAGTTTCTGCTGAATGGAAAGGGAAAGTTTGGGGGAAGGAGACTCAAAAGGAAGCAGAAAGCCCTCAGGGCTGGCACGAGGAGCTCCCTTATCCTGGTGCAACCCTCTTGCACATGGAGAGAGTTCTGGCATTCTCAGCTCTCTCTCCTTAGGGGTGGTGTGGTATTAAACTCTCTCAACTGCAGATCCTTTTTATTTCCCTTCTCATTGACAAATCAGAAAACCACCCGATATCACGGACTCCTATTCCTCCCTGGATCCTAGGCTCAGAAACGCTGGACTGGTTTGTGAGATTTGCAGAAAAGACTCCAATCTAGTCCAGCTTGTGGCTCCAGTGGAGGCAGAAACCCCTCTGGAGAAGTATATGCAACATCAAAATCTAATGCACAGTTCAACGAGCTTCCAGAGCCAACACAGTTTCGGACTCTGTGGTAACCTTAAACTCATCAACGACGCTCCCTGCAGTAACAGCTGTGTGTCACAAAGCCAGCTCAAAATGACTTTACAGTAGCTAATAATAAACCTTTTCCCAGAGCTTGAAACTGAAAATCAAATTAAAAGAAAACAACCACCAACCCTGCAAACCCTCAAACTTAATATCTACTGTGTAGGACATTTTTTAGAAATATCCGTCCTCTGCCTTCCAGTAAATTGTGTCTTCTTTGGGGTCAATCATTTGATCATCTCTCATTTATTTCAGAAGCAGATCTGAACTAATGTTGCTAAAAAAGGGAATAGCTCTAGAATTAAGCAGGGTCAAAATTCAGAACTAAAGCCACAGCCACATCAAGTTGCTGCCTGCTTGCAGCTCACTCCCTTGCACACATTTAGTTTGCCTACATTAAGAAATTCCCTTTTTCCCCCTCTTCTAAAATCAGTCATCGTTCCTATTGAGACACATCGCTGGATAAGGGCATTTCAAATGCATCCAACTAAGCCGGCTTTGAACTCTATCCCCTACCCCCATGTTGGCAGCGCATGGCTCAGCAATTTTTCCACTGAAACCAAGTATCCCAGTTACCGTGTCTAGTCTCACATACTTTCCAGGCAGTTAGAGAAAATGCCACCACATTTTGGCCTTACCCATGATGGTCACATCATACTCGATCTGGAAGAGTGCCTCCTGGCTGCACTGTCGCAGGATGTTGAGGGCGTCAGCGTGGGTCATGCTGTGCAGAGGGATTCCATCAACGCTCAGCAGCCTGTCCCCAATTTTCAAGGACCCTTCCCTGTAGGAAGCCACAGGCAAAGGGATTTTTTTTTATATATGTATTTATTTATATTTAGATAGATTTTATATTTATATATACATTTTGTGTATATATATATATTTAATATATTTTTGTGTGTCTGTCTATACATATGTGTGTGCATATATATATAAAAGAGTCAATTACTTTGATCCTATAGGAACTGAACACCCCTTGGGCAATAGATTGGGTTATTTATAGTGCCAGGCTCATCATACTAAATTAACAGTATGAGAATACATAGACTGCCTCCTGCTTTCTAACACAGCATCAGCTTTTCATCTGCACAGGGTTAATTAAGTGGCTGCCTCTGGAAGAGGAGTTTCTGCTTATAACTACATCATCTACACATGAGTCAGCCTGTGAGCACTGGACCCATCCTCCTTGCACACCACAGGTCCCACACCAGCAGCATGAGAAGCCTTGGAGAGGCACTAGCAAGGAATACGAGCAGCACACATGTCCAAAAGCACGATGAGAGCTGCTGCTCTCTCTTGTGAAGGCAAATGTTGGAGATGCAACACAAGCATTACCTGTCTGCTGGGCCACCCGGCCTCACGTAGGTGAGCACCAGCGGTCTGGACTTATGCCAGTCTTCATGGGCTCCCCCTGTAATCAAACCGGGAAAGATCTAAGTCTCTGGAGGTTTGAAAGTCTGAATGAGAGTGCTGAGAAAGGAGAGACATTTATCACGTAACAGCTGACACAGCCTGAAAGCAAAAATACTGCCCTGGATTAGACAGCTGGCAGTCCTTGAAGACTGCATGGGATGCTCTCCAAGACATACTTTTGCTTCTCAGCTGAAGTTTATGACATTCATCTTCTTACTTTTCTCTTCCCGCTTCCCAAATCACCTCTGCCAGTGCTTGTCCTCTCTGTTTTTCATTGGAGAAGCCACTAACCTCTCAGCACAAAGCCAAAGCTGTTGCCTTCCTTGTAGAGGGACACCTCAATGGTCTTGGGAATAATGCCAGCGCTGCTCTCTGGCACTAGAGGAAGAGAGGAAAACCCAGTTACCCCAAGACAAGCCTTTTCCACACCATCCCGCAAAATAATACTAAAACTCATTCAAACAGCATTGAAATGAAAGTCCAACCCAATACCCATATTGTATCTTCTGTTCGGAGGCAAAAAATGCCCGACCTGGATGTGTGAATCTTCATCGGAGTCAACCGTGGTGTTTTGGGATGATTTCACCAGCTCAGTGTTGTGCGTCTCCTCTCAAATTTGTCTTGGTTAATACTCTGACATTCAAGTAAAACCCTGTCGTTTATCAAGTGGCTTTAATGTGTTCAGCATTACTCAAAAGCCAGAAGCTTCTGCTGCAGATGGAAACTTATGAAAAAAAAAACCAGTAGCAGTGTAAGGAATCAAGTCACCGGCTGACCTTAAAGAAAATGAAAATCCCAAATCCTCAGTGCAAAAGGTGGAGGGTTTTTTCCCTTACCTCTCATATTCTGACTTTAGAAAAAGATTAAGTGAATCCTTTAAAATGATCCTGAGGGCAATTCAGTAATTTTATGTTAAATACACAGTACTATTTAATGTACAAAAGCAAAGAGAAAAAGAAAGAAAATTCTTTCTGTCCCTTGCCATCCCCTGCTATTTAACGATTTATTGAACTACTGCAGTGAATATGGGACAATTTCCCAGTCTTCTCCATCCAGAACTGCACACGGCATTTCAGCCTGGTCCGCTCTGAAAAGATCAATTCCTAATCTTCAAACCAAGTGCAATGAATGGCCACAAGGATAATCAGAAAAAAAGAGACTAAGAGCTTGACTCCAACCTGCCACATTGGAGCTGAAGGCTCCCCTAGGCACGTCCGCGCTTGTGCTTCCACGTGGCTCAGGAGGGGGTTTTTGAAGCGAAATCTCCCTACTGTCCTCACTGACCACAGTGGTCCTCACTAACAAGCACCCTGAGGGCTTGCAACCTGCACCCAAATTAGGGTTAAACTAACCCAAAAGATGTACAGTGGAGGCAGGGTACCACCTCACGGGCAGGCAGCCCTGGGGACCAGGCTACAGCAGGGCCAAATAAACCCCAAACCCACTGTCCCCCACGCAGCCACTTTGCTCCCGCTGCTGTGCACAGACTGCTAACAAGGACACAGCCATGAAATACTCCAGGAGGGAAAAGCTCAGGGCACAGGAAGGCTCCCAGCTAAGGGGTGATACTCACATACCAAGAAAAGGGTATAAAGCATCCACAAATGAGGTCGGAAATCATCCAACTTCTGTCCTAAGCATCCAAGCATGAAGTTCTGCAACGGCCTTTTGTAAGATCAGGGAGGAGCAGGAAAACCTAAGCTAGTGTTAACACAGGGCTTGGTTTATTTATGAAAGATATGATACGACACAGTGGCCTGAAAACTAGATGGTCTTACAAGGTTTCTTCTAAAGCAGGAAATTACGAAGTGGGGAGAAAAAAATCAAACCCACAAGCACAAGCTATTGAATTACACTTGATTTCTGCTCTGCTCAGGGAAAG